CGGGTGATACCTATAATTTGAATTATTACATTAGTATATACCTAGCTAGTTGTCTACTTGTATTTGCTTGTACTACTTGTATATATATATATATTTTAGTTATTTATTTTAGTTATTTATTACAATTTGCAGTGTTTGCAGCTACTCGCGTTGTAATGTATTTTATTTTATTTTTTCAAAATGTATTTATTTATTTAGCTAGCTTCTGAAATCATGTTTCTTATCTGTAACCAGTTTAATTTTGTAAGCTGAGTGTTCATGCCTGGTTGACAACTCATAGTTCACTGCAGATAACAACACAAAAAACAGTATTTAAATCCACCCTTAATTGATTATAAAATTATATTATTAACATACTTCAACACACTAGTCGTATTAGCACAGAAAATGACCTATAGTCTGCATTGGTTTCAGCATCGTACTGTAATAAATTACGGTGAAATTGTGTAATATATTGGTGAGAGTGCAAATAAAATTCAAACTGAAAGGTTGACATTGGAATTTGAATCCCCCTTTCAACAAACACTGAAACCATTGAAAGCTCTTTGAGAGACAGAGACTGAAAGTGCAACTTCATGTAAATGGGTCATTATCGCATAATGAGATCTGGGCAGAGAGAAACCAGGATGCAAACAGTAAGGATAGTATGAAAAAACATATTCAAGAGTTCACTAATAATGTTAACTGTAAAATGTACAACAACAAAATATCTAAAACCAGACCGAACAGGAGAAAAGGGAAGTATAAGCTAGTAAAACAGGCTTGTGTCTGTTTCAGAAGAGTGACAGTTTACTAGAAACTATGAAATTACAACAAACAATTGCACAAAAGCACAATGTCAGGCAAGAAAATGATGGATAGCTTAAACATTTTGTCCTTTAGCATTGTCTGTCCCATCCAGAATATCTGGATATACACTCATACTGTTTTTTACATCTCGGACTGGTACTATTGCTTTGTGAAAGAGATCTAGTCATACACCAGCAATTATTGACTCCATGCCATGCCAAGTGTTGTTACTGTATATTCAAGTAAAAAATAATCAACTTTCAGGTCCCTTGAGGAGACTAGAAGAACACTATACCTGACAGACCCAAAGAGATTTCTCAGGTGAGAAAGTATCAAAGCCAACTCATGCCAAAGCAGATTAGTTACACATGCCAACCCAACAGCCCCTTTCAAACTGCAGCCAAGCATTTGTTATTAACTTCTCAGTTTTGTGCAATTAAAACTTCATCTCACTTGCACCTTGCAACAGGAACCAGGCCTATTCAAATGACTGAAATGTAAAGTAGGTATTTTTGAAGCAACATGGATGTTTCATGTGTAATCTCCATATAATCTAAACAAAGCAGAAATCACACAGTTTACAGTAGCCTATCACATCCATAAGTTATAGCTGTATACAGTGATTATTCATGCGCTATATAATAAGGATTTTTTTTTTATTGCTAGATGCATCCAAACCTCCTTTATCAATGCAAAATCATCTCACCAGAACTAAAAAGGGGGGGGACTATTAACCGGCATGCATATAAGTAATATGCATGCCGGTTAATAGTCGTCCATAAAATAAAGTGTTACTATGAGAAGTTAATATCGCGTAACTTACATTTTAGAAACAACCAGTCACTTTGTCTACTGCTCATCCACCAATGAAAATAGTTCCAAACGCAGTCAAACCGAACACCAACACACACTAGATGTGTCTCATTCCTGAATGCTTCTATGTTTTTGAATAAATACTGCATGTTGAGTAGATTATTCAATGACTCATTCATAGTCACGTTCCATAGTGATTCATTTTTTAATTAATTGTTTAAGTGAATGATTCAATGACTCAATGTTGTAAAATGTTCACATGTTCTGTTCCTTGAATGAATCGACTGTATGAATAACGAAAACAGTCACTTGCCACCTACTGGCCTAACAATGTAACCTACAAAAGAGTCAGCGAAAAATCCCCATTACTAACACACGGACTGGTAGTCTGCATACTATATAGTATCCTGCTATAATAGGTGAAAACAGTATGTGAAAAAATTCAAATTCATAAAACAGTAAGCGAAAAGTCCTACTATTTCTGGTGAGTGCATATCAGACACTTTATTATCCCCTGAGGCCACAGGAGAGAAGTTATGAAAATGCAGCTGTTAATTTACGTTATCACATGATAATGACAACATGACAGATGTAGCAAGGAACGCAACTGTTTTATAAACATATAGGCTATATTTGAATGAACTACTGACGTTTTAATAGCAACTCCTTATAATAGTAATTTATCTGCTGTCCATATGATTGTAAATCAAATGAGTTTGACATGACATAAAGATTGGTGCAAGATTATAGCAAATGTACAATAATAGCACAATTCTCAACAGATCCAACCATGCCATCCAAAAGTTCATTCTCTTCTCAAAATCACACAACAACACAGTCTACACCTGTCAACCTAGCGATCAGCAAAGTAAATGTCCTGCTTATATTTGTTCTGACTACATTAGTTTGTTCTTTGAGCAGAACGAATCAGTTCACACTCACCCTCATGGTTTTATCGCTGCTGTCGATGCGTTCCTGCAATCTGCCGGTCGTACAGACCACAGCAGACTGGCCAGTGGAGACCACAGAAGCCACTTCTATGCCAAAAGAAGACACCTCTTTCTGCAACCTTCCTTTTCTTAATGCACAATGCTTCTTTTTTCTTTTTCTGTAATTTCTTCCTCGTCTTGTCTTTCACTTAACAATTACTGCAACCCGATCTGCCCTAATGCTGTTTCAAACTCTCTACGATGCAAGACTCTGTCTTTTGAAACTTTCCACCTATCCAGCTTCTGTCTTGTGGAGATTTGTTTGGAGTTTCCCTGCCCCCGATCAAAACCCTCACCTATGTAAGAGGATACCGCCCATCTCACCTAGATACGTCGCTCCTCCCGCTGCATTCACTTCCTCAATGGGATGGAGCCAACTCTTGTGCTTGGTTGAGCAGGATTACAAGTTAATCTGGGTTCAGGGATGCTGTCTGCACAGTTTTTGAAGATGTTTTTAAACAGGGAATGGCCCTCATTTTCCCAGATCTTCTTTCAAACATGTTTTGGTGGCTATGACTAGTAGTTTATCACTGTAATTATGCTGTATTTTAAGTATTTTAATGAGGACAGCTCATGAAATAGGTTATTAAGTTCACTTTACCTCACTCATTCATTGCACTTTACTTCTGAAAATGCTACCTATCAGTATACAGTTTAAGACTGTGAAATAATTTTCACATTTGTGACCCTGGACAACAAAATCAGTCATAAGAGTCAATTATTTTGAAATGTAAGATTTATAAGATTATACTTATACATTATAGGATTTATGAATAAATAAGCTTTCCATTGATGCATGGTTTGTTAGGATGGGGCAATATTTGGTCAAGATACAACTATTTGAAAATCTGGAATCTGAGGGTGCAAAAAATAAAAAAATATTGAGAAAATCCCTTTTAAAGTTGTCCAATTGAAGTTCTTAGCAACACATATTACTAATCAAAAAGTAAGTTTTGATATAGTTATGGTAGTAAATTTACAAAATATTTTCATGGAACATGATCTTTACTTAATATCCTAATGATTTTTGGCATAAAACAAAAATCTATAATTTTGACCCATACCATTTATCATTGGCTATTGCTACAAATATACTCGTGCTACTTATGACTGGTTTTGTGGTCTAGGGTCACATTTGATTAAATCCGAAGTGAAGAAAAACAATATCTCTAAGAGTAAAGTTTATGACTGTAAAACCATATTCACATTTGATTTGATTTGGTTTGTTTGGTTAAGTTCACATTTCTTTTCGTTTCATTAGATTGAATTTGGTTCAGTTCAATTCACAACACTTCACTGCTGAAAATGCTACCTGTAAGAGTAAAGTTTATGACTGTGAAATTTGCACATTTTCAGTTTGATTCGGTTTGATTTGATTCAGTTCAGTTTGGTTCGGTTTGGGGTTTATTTCTGAAGTGAAAAAAAAAATAAAAAAACTGTCAGCGTAAAGTTTATGACTGTGAAGTCATATTCACATTTGATTCGACTAAATTATATTTGACTCATTTTACTTCACTTTACTTCAATTTCGTAAATGCTACCTGACAGAATAGTTTATAACTGTGAATCTGGATTCACTCTTAATTCAGTTCAATTTATTATGTTTTCATTCAATTTGATTCAGTTAGATTCATTAATTTCACTTGCAAGTGATTCATCATTTCTTCACAGATGAATGATAATGTAATCCTGTTAGGTCTGGTGTCAGCTGCCTAAAACTAGTACATTGAGTCTTGTACTACTTCCTTTTAGGAGTAAAATTACTCAACATGACTAAAGAATTTACTTCACATTCACTTTTTACCTCATATTGCCAGAAACTCAATATTCACATCATTAATTAAACTTCAGAGACATAAATAGAAACAATCCCTCACCTCATTTTCTAAACTTAAATCAGTAAACTTTTCTATAGTTCAAACTGGAAAACAAACAATAAACAATTTATATAATCAAGTGAACCAAAGTAATGATCAGTTGGACCCTGGAGCTCTGTTATCACTTTAATTTATTTCTTTAGAGAGAGAGGACTCTAAAATTTGAATGAGATTTAGAGAAAAGATTCTCTGTGAAAGTTCTCTGTGGGAAAGTGATCATGTTTCTATAGGGTCAGGTCAGTGTGACCTCTTCTTGATGAGTATGACTCCATGATACTGGTCGACATCCTTCCACATCATTTCCAATGACAAGACCTTTGTTTAACACATACTGACAAGCCATGACCAGAGCTGTTTACCTCGCTAAACATGCTGTTGAGACTGCCATTGTTACAAAGCAAGTTGCTCAGCTACTATTATGATGTAGAGATACTGAAGTGTCATGTGACTCAATGACTCACTTTGTTTTTGTATTTCAAATTACTTTAAAACTGAACAAGAATGTGAAAAACAAAGCCAGTGAGAACACGACTAAGAATGCTGCTTAACTGCTTAAACATAAGAAATAGGAATTAAAACAGGGCTTTATTTGTAAAGCCAATGCCATACAGCAGTGCTGGTTAAAGATTAAAACAATGAGTGAAGAAAGAAAAACTGCGTTCTATATAGTGTAATATTTAGCAGATCAAGCTGATTGAAAGGAATAAATTCATATCCTGATATCTGATTTACAGAAAAATCTGCTGAAACCACTTAATATGATGGGAATATTGTACAATATCAACGTAAAAAGAAGTAAATGTCCATAGATATGTTGCATCATTACATTAAAACCAAATTAAAATAAGTTGTGATTCTCTACTTATTTTACATAAGTAATTATTCTGAAGAATATCTGAGATTTGGAATAAATGTTTTAGACAAACACTGGATAGGATATAAGGCACTTCATACATTGCCATGTATTGAAACACAGCATATGTATTGATGTATTGAACAGTATTGTATTGAGAGGAATGGAAAATAATATTTACATTTAGATTTTTAATTAACAAATAAACAAAACAAAACAAAATAATAAAATAAAATAAAATAAAATAAATGAAGGATGGACTCTGAATGTCTGGTAATCAATTATTTCTTGATTGTTTTCTGCAAAATTCTATTTTTAAACTTCCTGTTAAGCCCATGTAAAGCAGGACACTCTACTCACATCCTGCCTGATACAAATACACACACTTACTAAACAAAATTTACAGTAAATGTAATTTAATTAACTTTAATTATGATGCTGTTATTAATCACAACCCATAGAACAATTACAAGTCCATGGCCCTTAAACATCTTACAACTTAAGCAATATCAGCTGTCTTACATATCATATGTGTTTTCTGATTTTGGACATCAGCTAACATTTAATATAAATTAATAATAAAAAAGTACAATAGAAAAACTAAGCAAGACCTTACTGTTTTAAAATAAAATCCTGTTCTGTATTCCAAAATGATCTGATGTTGATGAAGACTGGCAGGATGAGTTAGATCCTATTTTCCTCTCTTTTCCTTTCGTCCTCTGTGTTCATGGAAATGAGTCTTCACGAGGCAAACCAGTTTCAAAACAAACATACATTTCAGAATCAACCTCTTTATAACTGACCCTTGCCTCTGTCTTTCCTTTTTCCCACCAACTTCATTGTCCATATATCCTTGTCATCTTTTTTTTGTTAGTATATGTTACATTCTGCGGAACGAGATAGAAGGAAGTGCTCTTATTTTTCTTGTAGTGATATCTCAACTCATATCCTGAAATCTCATATGGAGGAAAATGGACTCAGATTACCACATTGCCAGGATATTACAAATGATTAGTGTGGAAGGAAGTATTTGTCTATAGATGTGTTGAATCATTACAGCAAAACAAAAGTAAAATATGATGTGAATCTCTACTTATCTACTTACATAAATAATTACACAGAAGGACACATCTGAGTGTTAAAGTAAATGTTTCAGTCAAAAGGTTATAAGGCACTTTATAAGTTGTCATAAATAATCAGCTATTATACAGCATATGCATTAAAAATGACATTATATTATATTATATTATATACAAAAATATCAGATCATTCAATCGACCTATTGAAAGAGTGAAAAATTGAAGGGGGTCTGAATACTTTCCGTACCCACTGTATATATATATTTTTTTTTATTTTTTTATTTTATTATTTTTTTTTTTTGTGTGGATATTTCAAATGTAATTATATTTATATTTAGCTTGTGCAGTGTTTGTACAAAGGCCTCCTACCAAAGCACAGTTTTAAAAGCTCTCATTTTATTCAAGAACCACAAATGTGTTATTTTAGGATATTTCAGGCCTGTAGCCCAGCGAGAGGCACGTGACAGGTTGTGGTTGATGCCTTGATCTCCGTGTTCAAAACATTCTGAGAACTCTGCAGTGAGCGCTGTGTTTATCTGCCTTTCTGCTCTTCTGCTAAACTCTGCAGCTGCTCGTGTGCAGGGCAGCAGCTCTGTTTACACCAGCTTTACACAGTTTTGAAATAAACAGAAGCAGGTGCAAAGGGGGAAATCCCCACATGGGAACAGCCATTTCCTCTCAAACGAAGAGCTAATATTCATTGATCCTCCAACTCATATTACATTTGACCTACAAATCTCTTTTACACACATACAGTGCAAACATACTGTATCTGGATAAAACATACATGCATTTGCTACAGATCCTGTAATATCACTCAATATGCTTGAAATGTTTGCTATTTTAATGAGATAATTTTTCATCATCTAAAAATGAAAATTATATCATTAATTACTCACCCTCATGTTGTTTCAAAACCGCAAGACCTTCATTCATCTTCAAAACACAAATTAAGATATTTTTGATGAAATCCGAGAGCTCTCTGACCCTCCATACACAGTAAGGGTCCTACCACGATCAAGGCCCAGAAAGGTAGTAAGGATATTGTTAAAATAGTCCATGTGACTAGAGCCCGATCTCTCAGGACCTAAAGTGGGACACTCACATTGACTCCATTGTGAAAAAGGCCCAGCAGAGGTTGTACTTCATTCGCCAGCTGAGGAAGTTCAACCTGCCACAGGAGCTGCTGAAACAGTTCTACTCTGATATCATTCAATCCATCCTCTGCACTTCTATAACTGTCTGGTTCAGCTCAGCTACCAAATCTGACCTCAGAAGACTACAGAGGATAGTCCGGACTGCTGAGCGAATCACTGGCACAACCCTCCCCACTCTCCAAGAACTGCACTCATCCAGCAGCACACTCCCTCTTTGAACTGTTGCCATCTGGTTGATGCTACAGAGCTCTGAGCACCAGAACGACCAGACACAGGAACAGTTTCTTCCATCTCACGAACACTTGACAATAACTGTG